GGTGGGTGGAGGGAGATTAGGGAGTTTGCTTCCCCTGGAGAAGTGTACCTTTTAAAATCAAGCTGCCAAGACAAGTAAAGGTACACACAAGAATCTTTTTTCACACTTGTGAAACAACAAATCTAGAAAACAGCCAGCATTAACCGAAAAGAGTGATATCTGTGACCAGCAGGATTTGAGTTGGGGAGGAAGCAATAATCTAGCTGTTCAAATTACATAAATAATACATGAAAATCATACAACCCCCAATAAGTATTGTATCAATTTTGCACTTCATAAGTAAACCTTCCTTGAACCTTAAATATGTGCACACATCAAATTAGAGACATATGGATACAATAACATAATTTTCTTCTAGTAGACTTTTTTAGAGCACTTTTAGGTTCACAAGAGTAATTCAGCAGAAGGCCCAGTTTCCATACACCGCCTCTCATTACTCACCAGACCAGTTTCTCCTATTACTAACATTTTACATTAGTGTGGTACATTTTGTACAATTAATCAGTTATTATTACTAGCTAAATCGCATAGGTTACATTAGCAGTCACTCTTTACATAGTGCAGTTTTATGGGTTCTACCAGATGCATAATGTAATCTGGTATACTATCCAGCATTACATTATCATGTAGAATAATTTCACTGCCCTAAAATCTTCCTGGGTTCTGTCTATTCAACCTCTCCCCTCTTGCTTTCTCATCCTGAACTCTTGGTAGCCACTCATCTTTTACTGTCCCAATAATTTTACCTTTTCCAGAATGTCATGGAGTTAGAATCATATAGTAAGTGGCCTTTTTAGACTGGCTTCTTTCACCTGAATATGCATTTAGGTGTTCTCCACATCTTTTCTTGGCTTGATAGCTCATTTTTTTATCAATGAACAATATTCCATTGTATGGATGTACACAGTTTGTTTATTCATTCATCTATTGGACATCTTGTTGACTTCCAAGTGTTTACAAGTTGTGAATAAAACTGCTATAAACATATTTTGTACAGGCTTTTGTGTGAACATAAGTTTTCAAATCAATTGAGTAAATATCAAGAAGTACAATTGCCAGATTGCATGGTGGAGATTAGGTTTAGCTTTAGCAGAAACTGCCACACTATCTTCCAGAAGTGGATGTATCATTTTACATTCTCACCAGCAGTGAGAGAGGGTTCTCCTGCTCCGTATCCTTACCAGCATTTAGTGTTGCCAGTGTTTTGGATTTCTGTAATTCTAAAAGGTGTGTACTGGTAATTTTTAATTCTGTGATAACATCTGATGCCGGGCTTTCTTTCATATGCCTATTTGCCATAAGTAAATCATCTTTGGTGAGATGTCTTTCTGTTCCACCCTTTCACCCATTTTTTATTGGATTCTTCAATTTCTTATTGCTGAGTTTTAAGAGATTTTTTATATTTTGGATAAAATTCCTTTACCAGATGTATGTCTTCTGCAAATATTTTCTCTGAGTCCGTGATTTGTCTTTTCATACTCTTGACATTCTTCCACAGAGCAAAAGTTTTTAACTTTAGTGAAGTCAAACTGATTGATTCGTCCATTCATGGGTTACACTTATGATGTATCTAAAAACTCAATGCAAAACTTCAGGTCACCTAGGTTTTCTTCTATGTTATCATCTAGAAGTTTTAGACTAATTCATTTTGAGTTTATATTTGTGAGAAGTGTAAGGTCAGTGTCTGGGGTTTTTTTGTGTGTGTGTTTTCTTTTTGATTTAATATTTTTGCACAGTACCATTTTGCTTGTTTACCATTCTTGCCTACTTTTCCCTATAAACTTTATTGTTTTTTATCTTTATTGTTGAGAATATTACAGATGTTCCCCTTCCCCCCCCCGTTTGACTCCTTTCACTCCACTCCTGCCCCTTCCCCAGACTTCCCTGCACTGTTTGCTTTAATATTTTTTAAATTCAAGAAAATGCCTTAAACTATCATCAAATATTCCCATTTCTTAGCAGAATATAAATGCTACATCTATTTTGCAATTATTTCACAATTTTCCCTTCCCATATATTTCTATTTCTATTGGAATTGGAATAAAATATCCAAAATAGCCTCACACTCTTCATTTAATATGTCATATTACAATATTTTTGTACATCTGTTTATTCATAAATTTGGTAATTTATAATTGAACAGAGATGTGATCTTATTGCATATTAATTGTATTCTCTTGAAATTATATATTCAAAGGCTTAGCATAGTCCTTGTTACTAAATATTACAAATAGATATAAATAGATATAAAAATGTATTTCCCCTTCGCATTTCAGCTTTCTACATAGCATGATAAAATAATTTTCTCAAAAGGACAAGGATTGTAGTTCTGGCCTGCCTCAGTGAATGTGGCAAAGTTTAAATTTTCTGAGTTTCATTTTCCATATTTGGTCAGTGAAGAATCTGGTCTAGGCGATATTTAAAGGCTGACAGTTTATTATTCCAGTCAGTTTAATCTTGGCTCTTAGATTTTAAAGCCAGTATTCAGGAACAGCTATTATCCTAACATCTTACTGAAATTCTGTTTTTGTTTTTAGCAAACCACTCACCATGATTAGTAGCAAACAGATGCCATCTGGGAAACAGCATGAGACATGCTGTAGCTTAGGAAAGAGCAGTGGGATTAGCCTGCTTGAAGCATTCGTACTTGTTCCTTTTGGGAGAAATCAATAAGGATTTCGCATTGCTATGCATGCCCTACCCCAAATCATACAAACTGTAGGGCTTATTTTCTCCTAAAATGTATAGAAGGCTAAGCCAGAGCGATGTCCATAAGTCAGAGAAGGAGAAACTCTTTCCAGATAGAGGCAATCATGTTTGAAAATGTCCGAAGAGCAGGTCATATATGTGTTTCCTGAGAGATTCTAACTTTCAAAATTATGTTATTTTTCTGTAAGCAACTATTTCCTAATGGAAATGACCATAAAACATAAACACACCGGTGCCATACATATTTGACAATCTCATGTTTCCAAAGGGAGGTGGAGAGTAAGTTAATTGTGAATGATATATGAGCATAAAGGATGTGACACTTACCCATCCTAAGTGTAATGTGGTTAAAGGAATGTTTTCGTCCCCTTCACCTGGGGTCTTGTTGCTTTTCTTTACATATATTTCTCACCAGGTTAATTATTTGTCTAAAAGAACAAATTTAAAACGCATATTACTGTGACCACACAACAACGTGTTATTTTTTTGAGTCATTCTCAGTTTACCTTATTAAATGTTAAGGTTTGTGTGTGAAAATAGTGTCTACTTATCAACATAACCTAGCACTCTGTAAAAATAAAATACATAGGTATTTTATTGAATGAAAGAATGACTAAATGGATAACTGAAACTGAATAAAGGAACATTTGAATGAATTAAATAAATGAATGAAAATGTAACTGCCTGAGTAAGCATGCACAGGGAAACTAGAAAAAATAGAGTTAACATGGAAATAAATCTATAAAGTATGAAGTAAAAAGTCATAGTAGTGTTGTCTACTGACACTGGTTCTGTAGAACATTTCCTAAAACAACATGAAT